ACTAGGGACTACACTAGGGACTACCTTACCGCGAGTGCGCGACTACTCAGCCCAACACAACATGGGCATGCAGTCATTCCTAGTGCAACGTCGGCGAGCAAGGGGTCGAATCCGTTTTGTGGATACCGAGGGGCCGGGATGCGGTAGGGATCGTACGGGAAGTGGATCGTCCTTCAGTAAGGGCGTCACTGGTGGGTGTGTGCTCCGTAAAGTAAGGTAGGGTACGTACACGGTATGAACCAGATCTCTCGGAGGAGGGAAGTGAGATGGTTGGACGGGAAGGATTTGGAAGGGGGGGTGTGTGGAAGGAGAAGAGAAGGATTCGGGGCGTGGGGGGGAAGACTCGCTTCTCTTTGTAGTTCTCGTGGCACTGTTTCCCGTTTCTCTTCTTACCTTGGTGTGTATGGCGGACACAAGTTTGGTGAGCCTACGGATACGGATTGAAACCATTACAGATGAACTTCAAGTGTTAAGTATGAAATCGTTCATAAGACGACAATTCCAACAAAATTATTCCGTAAGTGGTGGTTTTGGAGAAGATACTATGTGAGAATTGGGCTCAACTACCTAGGTTCCCAAGAAGGGTGCACTTCAAGAGAGGCACGACACTGACCTAAAGTTAGAGAAACACGGAAAACTTTACAAAATTGAGTTTTAATATTCCGCACTTGGAAACCTCATGCACACTCTATTACAGAACATAGTTTTGGTGTACATAGCTCTATGACAGGCGATGGATCGCGCGTCTATCGAGAAGCGTGCGCCACGGCGGTAGTCTCGTCAATCGTGTCAATCGTATCAACTATCCAATAGCAAGAGGACAGGCGCTGCTTATCTAAACAGGAACGAACATGAATCATGAAGGTTGTCCAGACCGTAAGACTTCCAAGCCATGAACGTCAGCGCCACCGCCGTCACCCGAACCGGGCTGGTCAGCAACCTGGTACGAAGGACGGTATACCCGGGGGATCCTATGGGAGGGCAACGTGCAGAAGAGTCGGCTTTTGGACGGATAGAGTAGCCGGTGAGCTACAGTTTTTCTTCCCTGGGCGCAGGCGGTGCATTCGAGGTTAGAGAACTCTGATATGTGGTAGGCGATCTCTATTAACCGCGTCTGGAAGATGATTGACGCAGAGGCGCGCGCGTGGTTCATGACAGCGGCAACACCGTACGGCTCAAGGGACTAGGCAGGATACTTTCGGAGCTTACATTCAAATTTCCGGACAGCAGCTTCCTGGAAGTGAAAGATGGAAGCCACACTTAGGTAGTCCTTGAAGCCGGGGGGGGGGGGGAGAATGGCAGAGAGCCAGCGGCTGGCCATCGCGTTTGCTGATCTCTTGTGACAAGCTTTCCCGAGAACTGGAGCCTTCAACGGATACAACGTTCGCCACTAGCACCCACGTGCCCGAGATGGGACTCTCTCTGGCCAAAGCTCTCTTGTCCTCACTGCAGTGCCAAAGTCAAATCAATGCTTGGCTTTTGCCCATCAATGCTTGATCCAAACATCGAAACCAGGCGCGGATTCCTAGACCTGTCGGAATTCTTTCTGGACACTTCGCCGCAAAGATGTGGAGGAGTTCGTTGCAATTAAAAAAATTAAAAAATTCTTTCTGAATATTACCTCACTTTTCTTGCTAAAAAGGCCACCGACATTTGACATCTACACAGCCCGCGCTCCAAGTGCCGGAATCGGCTTCCTAGGCCCCGGCGCCTGAGCGACAACAGGATGAAAAGCGTTTGTTTTGGCGCGCTGTTTTCTCCTCTATTTTCTAAATGCCACGTGGCTGTAGCCAAATCCTCCCGCTCACACGCGCAGAGGATTAAATGTTCGAGGAAAAGGAGCACGACGGTTATGGGAGGATTAATCAATTAGCCAACCAAAATTGGTTAATTAGGTACGATTCGCGAGGAGGCGGACATGAACTCCGTGAGAGACGTTGGAGAACAGCAAGGGGAACCGGTACTAAGAGAGTAGTGGACGGTTGGACCAGCAAATCACCGTTAACACTCATAAGCGAGACGGAGAAGGATGCAAAACCTGGGAGCAGGATGTGTGTGGCGTTGCTTCCTCCCGATGATGTGATTTGTCGCTTAACCGCGCCAAAGCCAATCACCAGCGAGATTGTCGCGCAATGAGGAAACTACTGGGGCCACCTACACTCCACGAACGGTTCGCTCCGTCTCTTTCAATTTGTTCCTCGACCAGGCAGGCAGCACCTTGCTTGGCCAGTAACAGCAATTGAGGATCTTGTCCATAAATGGATCCGAGCTTTTTCTTTGCAAGTCCGAGATTTCATGTATTATGATCAGCTTGGGAAGTCACAAAGTTGCCTGATGGCCGCGCCTGCAGAGGCGAGATCCGTTACTTCCTCAAAGGGAACAGGCCAAGGCAGCCGCGCCGGGTGCCGGTGCCGGTGCCGGTCAGGAAGCGGGACCCGGTCGTGGGTCCGAAGTGGGTCTCTCTCGCATCAAGCCTCTCCTTCTCCGCCCCTGTTCAGCCACACTCAATTGCAACAACCCAGAGGGACCCAAAAGGACCCAAAAGGGGACTTTCGATTTTATTCGGCAGTCAAAAGCGATAGTTGCCAGCATCTATCCATAGGCAGTAATGGTGAGTTCGCAAGTCACATCAAGTTGCGGTATTCTCCCGCTGTTTTGTTCCATCCTGAATTGAATGCTACGGCGTGGATAATTTCCATGAGATAGTCGCCTCATATTCGACACGGACCCTTGTAGCATCTCCCTCACGCCGACTGGGCGATTCGAACTCGTGCTCGAAAGAAAGCTTCTGCCTGAACATGTCCCCCGTCGCCAAGAGGGTCGGTCACCTTGACTTTTGGGCATCCCTGGTTCTGCAAGCAAGGGGCAGCAGAAAAACAGAGCCTTCAAGGTTCCCACATACGCATGCACCTAATGTGCTGAAGCTTCTGTGGGTCAGTGCTTTCAAATAACTGACGATGTCACGGCGGCCGACCTAGTTGGCAAAGGGAAGAGCCCGTCTTGGTGTCTTGGAGCCGCATGGTGTGATGTTTCCCCAAGGCCTCAGCCCCAGCCCTGGAATCTGGGTGCTCATGATCACCGCTGCATCCAACCCAAGGGGCCGTTTCTGTGAAAAAAAATGCACCCAATACCACTCAGATCATCATCAGGCATGACTAGGTAGGGGGCTTTGGGGGCACATCGGATTCCTCGGACTCGGTTCTGTTATTGACATCCAGGTGCTTAGCAGACGGGAGTCGAGGAACGGAAAGAAGTCCAACCAATGTGCAACTTATTCAAGTAGCAGAGAGCAAACCAACATCCACGATGGACCGACATGTCTCCTCCGACACTAACAAAACCTTCGCCCCCGTCTCCCGTCTCCCGTCCAGACACGGCCGCATCGTCTCGGCGGAGGAGAGGCAATAGCTGGCGATTCTTGGGAGAGGAAGCATTCGAGATATCTTCAGGCGGAGGAAGGAGTTCGTTTCAGCATCACTAAAACTCCTTGGCGCACTCAAGGCACCTTACCTTAGTGACGCTCCCCAGACTCTCTTCTCCGTCATTGACGTTGAGCAAGGCCGTCACCCCCTGATCCCTGTTGACTGACCCCAATAGGCCGTGCATATGGATCTATTTCGGGAGATCCCCCTAGTCGGAGGATCCCGTTTTTCCGTCGCTGCCAGGGGCTCCTGCCCCACTCTCTGGGCAGCGCTGTCACACTGTTTCCGTTTCCTGCCTCTATCACACTGTTTCAAGGCCGCACCAAAGACGGCCTGATCGAAAAACCCGTCTTAGGCGACCTACCTTAGTCAGGGTCGCCGTGTCGTTTGCTTCCTCTGCAACCCTCAAGGCCCTGAAACGGCCCCCTTGCTCAACGTCGTGCATCAGTGAGTTCGTCGGGCCACAGCAGCGCCGTACACATCAGAGTTGGGGGATCACGGGGGAAGAAGACCTGGATCGATCATCAATCGTACCCCTCAATGCCATGATATCCCGAGAATTCAATTCTTGATGCCGCGAGGCCAACACTAACCTCTGAAGACGGTCCACGACAGTCCTGCCAAGACGCGGGGCGCGACTTCAAGATGAGACGAAAAAAACAAGCACGGCCTCAGGCAAAGGCTTGGGATGAACCAAAGTCCATCCGTGTTGGGAGCTGGCCACTCAGGCTCCTCCCTTCTGCGGCGAACCGCGTTGAGAAATCTACTTTCAACGTCCAAAGCTTACCTCTACATTTTTTTTTATATAGGGTACGGAGTAGGTAGGTAGGTAGGTAGGTAGGTAGGTAGGTAGGTATAGGTGCACCATCTAATCCTCTCAGAGACACCGAAACAATCCAGTCGGATTCCAACAACCCGACAATCTCCAACAAACAAACTTCTCACCAACGTGGATTTATATCCTTTACGAGGGTTACAGCAACTCGACCGTCGCAACCGCAACCCAACAACACCACTGCCCCCATCCTTCACGGCACGCCAGCTGGAGCTGTGCCAGCTCAACAACGCGCCTGTCGTCTCGTGGCCCCGGCTACTCGGTGGTCCGGCTCTCTCCTCACACTAAATTCCGAAAATCTGACCACCGTGCAGTCGCGCTGTGCTCAAGGCACCAAGGTTCTCACCTCATCCCGGGTCGACTTCTTTGCGGATGTTTTCCGCCTCTCACACACACATGAGTACTCGCAAGGGAGCTGAGCCTTCACGTCACTCACTGACCAAATCGAGACAATGCGCGCTCACTCATCCCGCGCCGCCCATTCACGGCTTACGAGAGAAGCGCGCAGCCGGTCCCGACATGTCCGTATCACCTAATACCATTGCTCTTTGGTCCCCGCTCCTCCTGCCCTTCGGGTCTGACGCGGCCGGAGACTATCTTACCGATCTTTAGTCCAATGCGGAAAGCAATTCAAAGTAGAGTAACTCTATGCGTGCCCTCCAGGACGAATCAACGAGAGCGGCTCGCATGATCCCTTTAGGACTTTCGTACTCGCTGACAATTCTAAGGCAGCATCTCGAAAGATACCTCCATTCTGAAATTGACCACACCTACAGTTCGGACAGTCATACTACGGTCAACTGGTGGACCACCAAATCCAACTGCTCATTCTCCACAATCTTCGCCTATTGAGGCCGCATTGAGACCTAGGCAGGGTCTTGCAACTCCTCGACAGCGTAGATCTTTCCCACTCAGTCTTATCAGGCTGACATCCAAAGTGGCCCCCTCTCGCCATCACGGAAAACCCCCGACATTTCTCGCTGCCTTTGGCCCTTCCCCGCCGAGCCCTTGTCACGAAAAGTGGTCGAGTGCGAGGGCAAAACGTCCGGAGTACTGAGTACTGCCTGTTTCCAACAAAACCCCAACATGCGAAATAGTTACAGTGCAGTATAGGTGCAGAGAGCAGCGTTACATGGTCCCGTCGAACCCAAGAACAGGGCTTGGGCCTGCTCCCCAGCCTCTGCTCCCCAGCCTCTGCTCCCAGCGCTCTGGATCGCATGAAGTTCGCTAGTGCTACTGTTGTCCACATTTATTCTCTCGTCTTGCCAAGGCATCTACAATGCAACACGGACTTGAGTGTTGACCCGATCAACCGGATGGTCGCTATACCTCCTTCAACTTCGACGCGAGGGACGCGAGATAGAGATGAAGAGAGAGACGAACCGTACGGAGTAAGCAACCCGATCCTCCGTCGCAGGCGTCCAGAAATGGAGGTACATCGCCGACTATTTAGAAGCCCCCGAATGTGACCCTGAGGCGTGTTGGTTTTATTCCACCTGCTGGCTGGCTGGCAATCCTCCAAGTAGAAAATCACAACAAAGAACACCATCTAGCTTGGGCGGTGTCTTGGCGCTTGCTTCGCAGATGTGAACCAAACCAGTCAGACACAGAGAAAGGCCTAGACAAGTCAGGCCACGGCCATGGTGAAAGGTCCTGCTTCTTGAGTAGGGATTACCCTCGTAGATGTTTCAAAAAAGACCATCTATTTTCCAGCCATTAAGAGTGGCTTGTGAGCATTGTCTAAAGCAGTACGTAGAGCTGAACCGATTCGGTGTGGCTGGGGGAGATGCGGCTAGTGCCGAGCTGCAGAGTGGTCGCTAGGATGGCCCATGATGGGCGACAACCTGTGTCTGCTCTTGATTCCAACTGATCCCTGTCCACAGTATATACCCCTCAATTGGATGAGGGCTCTGGGAAATCGGAGCAAGTGATGCTGTTGATTCAGTTATAATTCAGTCTACTTGACGCTGTCTTCTCAATTGGAAGGCGTAGCTATCCTTTGTAATCGCTGATAGAAAAAAACCACCAGTCCCTCAATCGTCCATTGTCAATCTACTTCTGCTTTGAACACCAACCCAAGTCTAAGTGGTGATTGTAGAAATACCTTCCATACTGCCGCATATACCGTACTGGTATAGCCAGTGGCCAGCATCGAATCTGCTGATTGTCCAGCCTGGAGGCCGTGGGTTTCCTTCCTGGCCAACCCGTACTGCCTCGACTCCGCATGGCTTTGTGTATGTGAGGAGGGTCGGTCTCACAATCAGACTGGAACTGTAGAGTTCCTTGTTGCACTCTTCGCTAATAGTATACTCCATTCCCACCTTGTCGTCATATGGCGTTCTCGGTGGAAAGTTCACCTTGGGCCGATCCCAGTCTCGAGACGAAAGACTACTTATGCTGCTGCTTGTGTGGCGCTCGTTGTCCGAGTAATAGCTGCTCGTATCGCTGCCTTCACTGCCATAAGGCACCTCCCGGAGAAAGACTTCATTGTCGAGAACTTCCTTACTGACCATTCCCATGAACCATAAGTAAAGAGGTCTAACTTTCATTGCGAGCTGGTCAGAGGCATCATCGACTTGCTCGTCAACGGAAAGGGAGCCGATGCTGACGAGGCGCGGTTTTCGCATCGGCGGGAAGGCGGCGAAGCGCATGCGCAAGGCGTCAAATACGTGACAAATGCCAGCTTCGCTAATGTAGACGTCGCACTTGTCACCCTCCTCTGCTGAGACCTCCTAGGTCCTGAAGCCTCCGATGCCGTACACAACCATGTGGACCGGCTCTCCTCGGAGTTCCTCTGGGAAGAGGACTTCGGCTGCAGTTTCTGGGCTCAGGTCTGCCGTAACAATTTTCATGCGGCCGAAGTGTTCCATTTTGAAGTCATCTGCGTCGCAAAACATCTCCTAAAGACTTGACTCGCATCTGACGTCTGGGGTGGTCAACTCTTAGCATTCACGACATGAGGGAAGTGTAGGAAATAATAACAATGACAAGCGGATCGTGGACATGCCACATCGACTGTAGGTTTTGGGAGGTATAGACTTTACTTACAAACATGGCAGAATATCGAGGTATTCTGAAGAGCATGCATCAGACACCTGAACACGGTGTACCCCGTTGCTCCAAAGAAAGCGACGTGACGCATGGGTCGGTTGAGTCGATATGGAAGAGACGACTGGATGCTCAGGTGAAGACCGGGGCCTGATTTGATGGGGTGGCGTGGGATGAAGCTGTATTCGACCTGATTGTCGACTAGTCGGCCAAGGACATTGGAATGACGGCTTGCCATTTTCGTGGGCGTGAAACAGCAGCAGAGATCCTGCCGCAGAAACTCCCCAATCTGAGGATCTGATTCGATGTTGAGAAGGACCGGTAAACAGTGGCGAAGCTGTAGGGAGCCTATTTGATGGTGGACGCAAATAGGCGCGGCGGAGATGAGTTCGAGGCACGGTAGGTAGCTACGCGAAGGTTGCGAGCGTAAAGGGAAATAGCCCGAGAGGAGACTTATGGAGCTGATCCAAGAAGTTGGAGGCGAGTGGCGAGCAATGGCACAGCGAAGTGTGTAGCGTACCCGAGATGGATGGGAAGATGGCGATTGACTGCTGCTGGATGGTGATGTGTTGTTGATACGAAGGAAGAGGCATAGCGGGGAATTCTCCAAGAGGCGCATATCAGGTTCGCTCCCATGCTCATGATTGAGTATTCCAGTCGACGGAAGGATGAAGCCATTGATATCGGTCCGTTGGAAGGAAGGGCCCCATTAGGATACTAGGCCTGCTGCCATGGCAGAGCGCGGCTGCGAGGTACCTTGGAAAGCATTACCTTACGGACGAAGAGGAGGCTTAAGAAAAGAGATGTAGATGCGGAAGGATGACTGAGCAGGCGGAACCCCGGACAGAGACTGAGTAGTGGTCCAAAACAGGAAGCACCATATCTCACCCAAGCTGTAAAGTAAGTATGTAGCGCCATGCCTGTTCTACCTTACAGCGGCAGGGTCTCCTTAGTCGACGAGGGGTGTGGCAGGACCAGTTTAGTCTGACCTCGAAATGGAAAGATCATCGAAGGCGAAGGAAGCATCACACAAAGCAGGGGAGACACCTGCACTGTCTCAGTATATACGCCCTGGACCGAGGTATCTGCACTCCGATGTAGGCGCGGAAGGCTTCTTCTGCGGCCATGACCTCGGCGGCGCGGTGGCTTGGGAAAGACACTCGACGTTGGCTGCCTTATGGGTCCATGAAACATGTACACGATGTAAGTAGCGGCCGATGCAGTGCCATGCGGGACGAGTGCGAGAGAGAGAAGCAGAGAAGCCTCAGACAATGTAATGTGTATGCAGTAATTCGATACACAGCACAGGGCTGAGATGACACGCTGATATGTCGCCTCGGCTTGGCCTGCAGGTGGAACTCCCTCGCGGTCGGCTGCGTTTAGCAGCGGAAGCGGTGCAATTTCCCACATTGCCACGGTGTGTTTCAGGTCTCGTTATCATCAAGTGATGACCAAGGTGTGGGATTCTAAGCAGGAGCTATTAGTTGACAATGGCTGACCGGGGGTAGATAACGGAGTTTGAGTATTCAAAGATCGAGAAGAGATGAGGGCCGGAGGTGCGGGGAGACGAAAGGAGGACGAGGATGATGATCTTGTCGGGATACCATGTGGACTCGGTCCCGAAGAAGGCAAAACGAAGCAAAACGTGTGAAAGATGAATACCCAAAGGAAGGAAAGTCAAGAGAGAGACCTAGAGTGTGTGTGAAGAGCAAAGTGGAGCAAAGCGGAGCAAATGCGTGCCAGCGGGAGTCGGGAGTCGGGAGTTGGGACTTGAGGTTATTCTGTTGCCTGCTGGGAGCAGCGGGACGATGCGATGCAGCGCGCGATGAGACGTTGTTGCTGCAAAGATGCACCAACAGGCCCGGCTGTGTTTGCTGCCCGCCTCTCCGCCCCAGAAACCCCCTCAAGGTGCTATGTGCGGGAAACTGTGTGGTTTACTGTGTTCGGGAAGGATTCTGTCTGAGGGGTGAGGAAGCCTGAAGCACACCAGGGTGTTGACCTAATCAGGGCGGGACCACGGAGCAAGGGCCCCTTACCGAGCCAATGGGACACAAATGTCTTCCCCGCTTACCCTGGACCCGCCCATTGCCCCGCCTCACCTCACACATCACGACTGCGGCCACTGAAGGTCGACGCGCATCTGAGTTTAGTGATGAACCCACTAATTACTCCGTGGACGAGATGCGCTGAAGGGCAACACAGCGCCCCGTGGGCTCCGTGACTAAGCTGAAAAGTCGCTTCGTTCCACCTCCCCTTCTCAAATCATCCTCTCACGTACAGCTGCTCGTACGCACGTAGAATGCACGCAGGGCCTATTCACGGCTCAGTCATCATGTCAGACTCGCAGCTATTATCAACCGCTGCATGTTCTCGGCCAAGGCGAGACGGCTGAATCATTAGGCATTCAATACCTAAATGTCTCAATTCGGGGCGGCCATAACTACCGTGTGCTTGGGATTCGTTATCACCCGACTGCGAATCAGATGGGAGACCATATCCATGAGACCAGACGAGACAAAGACGAGATGGGACGAGGTTCAATGCAACTTTGACAACCGCAGCGCCTGTGGTGTAAAGCAGAGATCTGCTAGAGCAAGACACGACGGAAAGCCAAGTTTGTTAGTTCTCTACGCCATGGATTGTCGAGCACCCAAGCTGTTCGACCGACTTTCGCAGATCCTGTACATGCGTCAATCAATCTCCCTAATTGGCGAATCCCATGGTCCTTCTGGCATAACTTCCCGCTCGACTTGTGCAAATCGTGCAGATACCTCCAGCGACTTCGCCCTTGTACCTCGTATGTACCGTGGGATGAACCCCTGGAAAGCCTCCATCTGGCAAGGGAAGGAATGACGGGATGACATCCACACAGACGCCGCCCCGTTCCAGCTCTCCACCTCTCCGAACCTCGATCAAGCCCATCCCCCATTGGGAACATCTTCTTTCTCCAATCACTCCTTGAAGAAGCTATCTTGTATCGTCGTCCAAGGCGCGGCTGTGAGGCGCTCTCCGCGATACACGCTCGTCTATTCGTCAGCCCTACCAACTCCTTCTCCGTGCTGCCGCTAACGTACACATTGGCACCCGCGCTTCTGCGTTCCGTCTTACCCTTGTTTTGGTTGCCTACTCTTTTGCCATGGGTTCGGCCAACAATGCCTCCGTCAACCTGCACCAGACTGCGCTGCGGCTATTCATGTCTCCACTTGCATCATCATGAGCACCGAAATAGTAGCCTCCGGAGTCATTCGGAGGCTCACAACTGACCGGAACCTGTCTCCGGACAGCTTCGGAAATCTTCAACGCGATACTCTGACTGAGGAGCCGAAAGTGCTCCATCGCGCAGAGACCGTCTTGCATACCTCCAATGGCAGGCACCGACATTCAGAGGAACTCCATGTCCGTCAAAGGGGCATCAATATCTCTTCATCAACATATAAGCTTGGGATTCGGTTCGTCTCAATCTGTTTTCCTCATCACTCTCGACACATCATCATCTCTCATAGACTCAGTTCGACTCTTCACTTCATGATCTTCAACCAGCAAAGTATCGCAGAGTTCCAGTTTCAGGGTTCTCTTACCTCAACCATCACCTTTTGATTCAGAGTATCCTACTTGTTCGCGGAAGATTCCATTTCTTCCCTCGTCCCTGAAATCAACTCTCGATACTTGATATCAACTCTTTTCCTTCTGATAGCTGGTCAATTACCTTCGATCACGAACCACAATCGACAATCACCTTTGTCGACCACCTCCTCAGCAGACTAAAGAATCCAGCCAAGCACACCAAGCTCATCCGAACTTAGCTTTTCCAGCTTCGCAACCGATCAACATGTCTGCCCGAGTCAACACCGTTGAGAATGACCCCACCGTCATCGTCGGTCTCGCTTGCCGAGTCCCTGGCGCTTCCAACCCCAGCAAGCTCTGGGACCACATTGCCGCCCAGCGAGATGTTCAGCGCAAGATGCCCGAGGACCGCTTCAATGTAGACAACTACTGTGAGTATCATCATAGCTTTTGACGATTTTCAAAGATACTGACCGTTTTCGTAGACCACCCTGATGGCACCCGCAAGGGAACCGTAGGTTGAGTCCTTCAAACAAGACACAGAGCCAATAGACTAATACCACTATTCTAGACGAATGCTCGTTTCGGCTACTTCCTTGAGCAGGATATTGCTGAATTCGACAACTCCTTCTTCGGCATTTCTGGAAAGGAAGCCGATGCCATGGACCCTCAGCAGCGTCTGTTGCTCGAGGTCGTCTACGAGGCCCTGGAGAACGCTGGTATCACCCTTCAGGACATCAGTGGCTCTCAGACTTCCGTCTTCTGCGGTAGCTTCACAAACGACTACCTCTCCATGACTGGCAAGGACTTGACGGCGAACTACCCCATGTACCACGCCACCGGTACCGGTAACGCCATTCTGTCCAACAGAATCTCGTACTTCTACAACTTGCACGGGACCTCCATCACTCTTGATACCGCCTGCTCATCATCTCTTGTCTGCTTCCATCTTGGGTACGTTTGCAGTCATCTGGTTCTCTATCTCGTGATATCAGGATCTTGAGGCTAACACGCTTTCGTCTCTAGCAACCAATCGCTGAAGAATGGCGAAGCTGACATCTCCATCGTGGTCGGCTCTGCTCTTCACTTCGACTCCAACATCTACATCACGATGACGGACCTTGGCATGCTGTCCACAGATGGTCGCTGCCGCGCTTTCGATGCTTCGGGAAGCGGTTACGTCCGTGGTGAGGGTATCTGCGCAGCTATTCTCAAGCGCCAGAGCGCCGCTGAGACTGCTGGCGACAACATTCGCGCCATCGTCAGAGCTACTGGAAGCAACCACGATGGCCGAAAGAACGGTATCACTTTGCCCAACAGCGTTGCCCAGGAGGACCTCATTCGCTCCACCTACGAGCAGGCCGGTCTCAACCCGCTGCACACGCAGTACTTCGAGGCACACGGCACCGGCACTGCTGCAGGTGACCCTATTGAGACCCGTGCCATCGGCGCAGTCTTCGCCCCTGGCCGAAGCAACCCCTTGTACGTCGGCTCCGTCAAGACCAACATTGGTCACCTCGAGGGTGCTTCGGGTCTTGCAGGTCTGATCAAGACCACTCTTGCGCTTGAGAACGGCCAGATCCCCCCCAACATGCACTTCGACAACCCGAACCCGAAGATCATGTTCGATGACTGGAAGATCGCTGTCCCTACCAAGATGACTGCCTGGGAGGTGCCCGAGGGTATTGCCCGAAGAGCCTCAATCAACTCATTCGGCTACGGTGGTACCAACGGACACGTCGTCTTGGAAGAGTACGAGAAGAGTGCTGCCCCCAAGACCCGCTCTGTCACGGCCATCGAGAACGGCGTTCACGCTCGTCCGTACCTCGTTCCGCTCACCTCCCACTCCGCAAAGGCTGGCGAGCTGACCGAAGAGACCCTGAAGAAGTACCTCGAGCAGGGAGATGTTAACGTCGCCGACCTTTGCTACAGTCTGGCCACGCGCCGCACTCTCCATGGTCAACGTTCTTTCGTTGTTGCCAATGATGCGGCATTATTGGCCGAGCAGTTGACCATTGCCCGCCCTGCCGCCAAGTGGACTCTGGCCAACAAGTCTACCCCCAGACTTGGCTTCGTCTTCACCGGCCAGGGCGCCCAGTGGTTTGCCATGGGTCGCCAATTGATTGAGGAGAGCCCCCTGTTCCGCCAGAGCCTTAAGCGTTGCGACAGCATTCTCCAGGCGCTGCCCGACAGGCCTGAGTGGTCCATCCTCGAGGAACTCTGCAAGACCAAGGAGACTACTCTTCTTGGCGAGACCCTGTACTCTCAGACCATTTGCACTGCTTTGCAGCTTGCCTTGCTCGAAGTCCTCAAGGCGTGGGGCATCACTCCCTCAGCTGTCGTCGGTCACTCTTCGGGTGAGATGGCCGCTGCTGCTGCCGCCGGTATCCTCACCTTTGAGAACGCCCTCATTGCCGCCTACTACCGCGGTCGCTACATGTCTGCCCCCAACGAGAATGGCAAGCCCGGTGGTATGATGGCTGTCGGCCTCACCGAGGCAAAGGCTCTCGAGGAGCTCAAGCCCTACAAGGGTCGCCTTTGCATCGCCGCTGTCAACTCCCCAAGCACCATGACGATCAGTGGTGACGAGGATGCTATTCTCGAGCTTAAGGACAGCCTCACTGAGAAGAAGGTCTTCGTGCGCCAGCTTATTGTCAAGCAGGCCTTCCACAGCCACCACATGAACGCCTTGGCCGGTGCTTACGAGAACGCGCTCAAGAACTGCAAGACCTTCACCACCCAGAAGCCCACTTGCCGCATGTTCTCCAGTGTCACGTCTCGCCTGGCTGACTACGAGTCAATGGGACCCAAGTACTGGGCCACTAACATGACAAACGCCGTCCGCTTCTCCGACGCTCTCACCGGCATTCTTCTCGACGAGGAAGACGAGCAAAACGTTGACGTTTTGATTGAGCTTGGCCCCCACCCTGCATTGAAGGGCCC